CTGTTCAGTGATGTCTCAGTGATCGTGAGGGTGAAAACCGGCAGCGATCACTGAATGGTTAGAGGCACACTGAACCTAAACGTTAAGTTCGAGAGGTCTCGTCTAATGAAGTCAACGCTCCGTTCCCCTCGTGCCTAATCCAAAGTCCCGAAACCTTTCAGCTCGAGTTACAAAACCGTTTTCAGTGCCTAGAAGACTGCAATGAAGTGGACGATATGAATGACAAGCTCGTGGAAACTGTCCATGCGGTCGGAGCTAAGTTCTGCAAGACCCGCCCCAGAAGAACATAAAAACTCTCCGATCACACTCTTAATCTCATGGCTGTTAGACGGGAGATGAAGCTACATTCTTCAACAGATTTGACAGCATACAGGCAACTGAACAGACAGATCTCCAAATGCATGCGGGGGGACTTACGCAACTTCAATACAGCTCGTATTGAAGAAGCGATCGAGCGGAACCGAGGCTCCAAAGTCTTTGCCAGAGATCTGTCTGCCAGAATGAGCCAACTGTCAAAGCTGAAGACAGAATGTGACAGCATCGTTTCCAGGGCACCTGAGATTTTGAGTGAGATTGAGAGGTTCTATGGGCAGCTGTACACGTCATCGTTGGAGCCACACGCAAGTGTGAGTAACGATCCAAGAGCGAGTATTATCCGATACTATTCCGAAGATATCCCGGACGTCAGTCTGAGCGAGATTAGAATGGCTCTCTAGCACCTTAAAAACGGCAAGGCCCCAGGCGAGGATGGAATTACAGCGGAGCTTCTGAAAGCGGGTGGAAAACCGGTACTTGAAGTCCTTCAGAAGCTCTTTAATTACGCCCTCCATGGTGGCATTACACCGGAGGCGTGGAGCAGAAGTGCGGTGGTCTTGTTCTTCAAGGAAGGCGACAACGATCTCTTTAAGAACTACAGACCGATTTCCCTTCTGAGCCGCGTCTACGTGCTGTTTTCGAGAATCATTAGGAATCGTCTCGCGCGCAGACTTGACGACTTCCAGCCTCGCGAACAAGCCGGTTTCCGAAAAGGCTTTAGCACCATAGACCACATACACACCCTTCGGCAAATTGTACAGAAGTCAGAGGAGTACAATTTGCCACTATGTCTGGCGTATGTGGACTATGAGAAAGCCTTTGATTCCGTCGAAATTTGGGCGGTGCTGCAGTCCCTTCAGCGGTGCCAAGTTGACTGTCGGTATATCGAAGTGCTGAAGTGCTTGTACAGTAGGGCTACGATGGCTATCCGAGTACAGAACCAGAGTACGAAACCTATCCAATTGCAGAGAGGTGTAAGACAGGGTGACGTCATATCCCCGAAACTCTTTACCGCTGCATTGGAAGACGTTTTCAAGCTTCTGGACTGGAAAGGATACGGTATCAACATCAATGGCGAGTACATCACTCACCTTCGATTTGCCGTCGATATAGTCTTTGTGGCAGAATCGCTGGAGGACCTAAGCACTATGCTCAATGACTTCAATAGTGCTTCCAAACGGATAGGTCTTAAGATGAACATGGACAAAACAAAGATCATGTTTAATGTCCATGTCACACCTATGCCGATAGTTGTTGGGAGCACTAAGCTCGAAGTTGTTGACGAGTATGTTTACCTGGGACAAATAGTCCGACTATGTAAGTCCAACTTCGACCGAGAGGTCAATCGACGGATTCAACTCGGTTGGGCAGCGTTCGGGAAATTACGGCACATCTTCTCGTCAGGTATACCTCAAAACTTGAAAACGAGACTGTACAACCAGTGCGTGTTGCCAGTGATGACATACGGTACTGAGACGTGGTCCTTCACTGCTGGCCAGATGAGGAAGCTCAAGGTCGCTCAGCGAGTTATGGAGAGGGCTATGCTCGGAGTTTCTCTGCGTGATAAACTCAGAAACGAGGATATCCGCAGTAGAACCTGAGTGAACGACATAGCCCAACGGATTAGTAAACTGAAGTGGCAATGGGCCGGCCATATAGCTCGAAGAACCGACAACCGATGGGGAAAAAAGGTTCTCGAGTGGCAGCCTCGTACCGGCAGGCGAAGTGTTGGGCGTCCCCCCACTAGATGGAGTGACGACCTGGTAAGATATGCAGGAAGTCGATGGATGCAGGTGGCTCAGGACCGTGCTTTGTGGCATTCCTTGGGGGAGGCCTATGTTCAGCAGTGGACTTGTGAAGGGCTGTAATGATGATGATGATGATGAATATTTAAGGAGGTGTAACAGTCAACGATACTGTACCCACATCAACAAAAATGAGTAGCATATACCAACTATGCTAAGTGCTATTTTTTTTAGGCATACTGATGAGATTTTTTGTGTTGCTTATGAGCATGCTGAGGATACTTGCTGTGTTGATGTTTAGCAATATATCAAGTCTTCTCTTTTACATACCAGGCTTCATTGTCTGGTGGTTTTACACCGGGCTTCATTGTCTGGTAGTTTTCAAGGACAAATCCATTATAGAATCTCGCTTACAGTGATAGGAGAGGGAAATAGATTTCTTACATTAAAAACAATTTGTACTGTTAAAAATATTAGATGCAAGAAGTTGCAGGTTAAGCCTGAGTTAGAAAATAAGGTAAAAACTTAAAATAACAATTTTTATTGATGTGGGTAGTGTCTTTAAGTACTGCAGCTGATGAAACGTGAAAAATCGTGAAACGGCTTTTAAGTTCAGTGTTTTCCTAAAATATTTTAGATTTGAAGTGTATTTTTGTAATAGAAACGAATTTACAAACATAGAGGCGCTCTCTTATTGGATTTGGCGTTGTGTCAAACGTGTCTTTAACGCCGACTGATCTTATCTATCTGCTATTATTATCTCTTATCGATCTATATGCTATTATTATATCAGCTAATGGACCGAGTGACGTCATGCCACCAAGGTGGCAACCAAAGTAACTGCTGCTTGAATTGATTCTTAGTTATTGGAAATTAAATATTTTATTTCATGACACTAGAGGGGCGTAAAAAGTTAATATGATTTTTTTCGTGTGATGGAAGTCATGATAAATAGATTTATACAGTAAAACAATCATGTAAATTCCCTATTATTATATCTAAAAGCATTTCAAACTTAGTAATCTTCAACGACATTATCGATACTTTCATACCGAAACGGTAACATTCCTAAAACGAGGTTATATTTATAAGCGTCACCTACTGGGGAATAGCTAAAATGTTGTCTTAATAAATGCTTAGCGTTATTTTGCTATTTTTAGCTAGAGGGTGCCACACGCGCACTAGCTCAAAGTTTTTGTATATAAATTTTCCCAATATCCGCTTTATAGTAAACCTATATATTTAAATCTCTTTGGTAAATTGCAATATAGTTATCTCGGAGCTTTTGGGTTTTATATAAAATAAAGCCGATATAATGGATGAAGAAAGTATTGTTCGTCTGATTGGTACCACCTTCTCCGAGGAAGACATAGTACAGGCAAAAAATTACTCTTCGACGTACCACCGACCGATGGCAAGAATTTTAGAAATATTGAAGACATTATTGCAGTCATTAAGGAAACTGATCCCGAAAAGCTGCCTATCTATGTTGCGAGGGATTTGCAGACACTGCCTCCGGTTACATTCGATAATATCGACTCATCAAGATTGCTCAAAGATATAATAATGTTCCAGAATAAGATGGCTATAATAAAAGAAACATACGTCACTAAATATTTGTTGAATATATTGAATACAGAGGATAATGTTAATGATCATTGTAGAAAAAGAGGGGCTTTTATTGATAGTTTTAATAACGAGAGTGACCCAATAGGATTAATGCACAGATCTACGGGGAAATACCGGTCGATAAATCAAAACAACATCGCACAAAATAATGTAATGAACCTACAAACTACGCCTCTAGAAACAGATGTTGATATCGCCAATGACATGGTAGTTTCGCTCGCGCCAACTTCCTTGATTTCCAGACAGGTGAGACCTGCTCGACCAGTAAACCTACTACCGCGGTTTCGTATGGAATCGGATACCTGCGCTCCAACTGCTGCGTCTGCGTGTCCCTCAAGCACTGTGGTTGCGAACGAGTTGTTTAACGCAGTGGCGGCGAGAGTACACTAATGTCAGATGTAGCAAGGCAAGGGAACTTTAAACCTGAGATACCAAAGGAAGACTGGGTTTTAGTGCAACATAACCGTCTCTGGAATAAATTTATTGGTTTGAAAGGAAAAGCGGATTTGATTCCAGAATGTGAATTCAAGGCTGCTGAAGTCAGCATACCTTTTTACATTTATAATATTGATGTGGACTCTTCTGCTGATGATATTACTAGCTATATTAAGAGTAAAACAGGGGTTAGTGTATTGTTACAAAAAATAGATATGAAACTAAAAAGGGAATATCTAGCTTTTAAATTTTTAATACCTAACGATAACTTATCTGTATTTATGGACGAGAATCTCTGGCCAAACGGTGTTGCTTTTCGCAATTTTAATCAGTAAAAATCGAGTAAATGAATAAAATTAAAAATAAAATGAGTAGTCAAAATTATAATGACAATGAAATATTACTTTTATATATAATTAAAAAATATATATATAAAAAAAATCCACTCCTAAAGGTGGTAAAAATAGGAGATGAATTTTTTAAAGAAAGTATTTAGAAGACATTCTTTTAGTAGTTGTTATTTTAAGCTCGTAACATTCCTTAGTACACTCTAAAAGTGATAACAATTAAAATTTAAGAATGGAACTAAAAAGAATATAATAATTTCCTAGATACAGTCTTTAGTGGCTTTAGTTCTTCGTCACACTACATAATGTATTAGCATCGACTTCTGAAGCTATATTATGTGAAAGTAATTACATGTTTTTTTTAATCAGCTTTCGTGTTTTTATTAAAAGTTTATTTTTATTCTTTCTTTACCTATACTAGTTTTGTATATGTTAGTTATTCGTGTAAGTTAATTTGAAAATAGAATATAATAAATATATTAAATACCTAATTACTTGTATAAGATACATAAAATAAAAATAAAATTGCTTACAGTTGTCTTTTTTTCTGAACATTTGCAAAGAACAGTATATCTTCCTTTTTACATTCGCCTTTATTCGTCCATTGTTGAGTGGGTGTTGTGGTCATTGAACACTTTCTTGATGTCCTTAGCACTTTGATGGAATTACTTGTAAATTTTTGGATGGTGGCAATATTTATCTCACTATTACATTTTCTATTGCTTCCGCTTAAACAAAATATAAGTATTATTAAGGTGAAAGCTCCAGGGTGGCGCGCGAAATTCAAATTTTCTTACGTTTTTTGGACTATGCAGGTCAGGGTCAGGTTGAATGTTTAACAAAATATGATTCGTGACTGTAACGAGTATGTGTTTACAGAATTATTGTAATTAAAATCACCGACACAACCCTCCAAGTTCATATAATTCCTTTAAATAATCCTTTGAATTTCGTGGGCCACCCTGGAGCTTTCACCGTAAAATCTCCAGGGTGGCCCGCGAAATTCAAATTTTCTTACGTTTTTTTGTAATTTGTAGGTCAGTGTCAGATTGTATGTTTAATAAAATATGATTCGCGACCGTGACGAGTATGTATTTACAGAATTATAATCATTATAATCATCAATACAACCCCCTAAGTTCGTATAATCCCATTGTATGGCTATTTCCAGAAAAACTTATTATGAACTTGGTGGGTTGTATTGGTGATTTTAATGATAATAATTCTGTAAACACATACTCGTTACGGTCGCGAATCATATTTTGTTAAACATACAAATACAACCTGTCCCTGACCTGCAAATTCCAAAAAAACGTAAGAAAATTTTAATTTCGCGGGCCATCCTGGCGCTTCTACATTAATTGCCGGTCTAGTTTATAAGTCTTTGTAAATATGAATCATTTTGGTCCGTAGATATAGAATTTATCAATAACTGGACTACAGCGCCAGCCATCGGGTCTTAGCCTATCTATGACCCATCGTTTTGACAATACTCGTATGTATAAATTGTGTGAATATGACTTCCAGAAGTTCAGAAGTTACACCGAAGACCAAATAGTATAATAACTGTTATTCTAAAGAAACCAACATTCTGCATGATCACTAAAGACGCATTAACGATTATCTCTATATAAAAAATCAATTGCTATCCGTTAGTCTTGCTCAAAGTTAAAAACGGCTCAACCGATTTTGATCAATTCTTTTTTCTGTATGTCTGAATGAATCCCTAGATGGTTTAGATTCACATTCGAACCCGATAGGTGGCGCTGTTATCGAGATCCAAACGTGCGAAACCGGGGCGGATCGCTAGTATTTCATAAAGATTATTTAATTTTACCTAATAGAATTGTCGGGAAAGTGTCTTTCTGCACGAACATCTGCAACAAACAGTAAGTGTATATTAGTAAGCGCTCATAGTTACTAGACATTCCTCCTATATATTTAGGATTGGAAAAATCAAAAGGGCGATGCGTGTGTGCATCGCTATGTGGTCCAGACTCCAGATGTTTCTTACAAACGTAGGCGACATTTATGCTTAATAAACAAACTTCAACACTGGCTAGTACAAACATCAACCAGCCCAATAAAAGTTCATAGCAAATAGATAGATAGCACCTTAGTTTACACATTTTCAAGGTTTTTTTGTCAAATCCAACGAAGAAACCTTACAGGAAATAGCAAGAAAAATGGCCACAACCTTCTAAAAAACAAGTGACAATCAAAGTACTTTGTACTAAACTATTTTATTTTATCCTCCCTATACAGGGTTCTTTTGCAATAAAGGTTCAGACTAAGCAATACTTATAGGCAAATGGTGAAGAAAAGTTTATTAAAAAAAATCTCAAACATTCCGTCCTAAAATTTTTTGAAAATGCGAGTAAAAGTAGAAGCCTCATTTACTGGTATTTTCAAGAAATGCAATAACGGAATATTTATATATTTCATAACTTATTTATATATTTCAACTCAAGTTTTTGGCTACTCTCTGAAAAAGAATCATGTATGCGTGTTACATGCATGAAGAATTTAGTGAAATGAGATTTGTCCTATTTTTATGATTCCTTTGCTTCAGTTCATACACTAAGAGTGAAGCTGTGACCTTAACTCATACAAAGCCATGAGATTTTTATTATATTACTTATTCTGAATCTTCTCTGCAAATTTGGCTGGTTATTGCAAAACAACCCTGTATAAGCAGGATAAAATAAAATAGTTAAATATATGCACAAAGTACTTTGATTGAGAAAGTGAAAGGGAAGGAGATCCAATGCGAGCATGCGGCTCACTTGGTAGTCGGTGTCGACCGCCGCCCATGAAAAACTGCAACACTATGGCAATCGCAGGTGCGTTGCCAGTCTTTTAAAAAAGAGTAGGTTCTCTTCTTGAAGGTCACTATGTCGTATCGGTTCGAAAAAACTGCTGGTGGTAGTCGATTCCACAAGGAAGTAGTACGAGGAAGAAAACTTATTGTAAATCGAACAGTGGTAAACCGCCAATCATCCAGATGGTATGGATGGTATCGCGAGTTTTGTCTATGTTTAGAATAAGTCCGAACAATTCCTCAGAGCATTCTCGATGATAGATGCGATAAAATATGCAAAGAGATGCAAGATCTCATCGCAATGCCAGTGAGCCAAACCGATGAGAAAGAGTTCGGTTGTCGACGATTCGAACCGCTCTGCGCTGAATGCGATCAAATGAAAAGAGTTGGCACTGGAGAGCCCCGGCCCAGAGATAGGAATAGTATTCCATGTGAGGCCGAACCTACGCCTTGTAAAGTTGCAAGCGGTGTGCCGGCACTAAATACTGCCCCGCTCTACAAAGCCAAGCCAATTTGGCTATTCGATATGTCGACGCCGACGATTCCGGTATTTTTAGCGGTAAACGCGCAAACTTGTATCTTCTGGGGATTGAACTGGGCTAGCTTTAGTCGCCCCCAATACGAGACTTTATTCAACAGAGTCTCGACTTCAGACATAAATTTGCTCGGTACTCGGCAACGTTTTCCCGATAAATATTGTCACGGCCGGTGTATAAAGCATCACCAGTGCTGTCGTTCGCATATCAATGAATGTTACCGGTTTGCAACATATAATTGATATGCAGAAGAAATAGCGTTGGTGATAGCACGCAGCCTTGTGGAACACCAGCGTTAATAAGCTTGTAATCGGAGCATGCACTGTCTACTGCGACCTTTATCCTGATCCTTTAGGATGACCTTTATCGATGACCTTATCCCTGCTTCGATCTGCAAAAAAAAATGGTGATCCAATTGCACAATTTCTCGGGAAGCCCATAGGAAGGTAGCTTTGTAAACAGCACATCCCGCATCGTTCTCCCCGGCATCGAGAATTGAATTGAACGCAAAGAGAGAGCCTAGAGTGCCAAACACGGCGGCAACCTGCAGAACGTAACCGTGACGGAAACGTGAGTGGCACCGTACTCCGAATCAAATAATAGTCCGAGGAGACAAGAGGGGCATCGATAGGGACCTGATATCTGCCCGGTCGACAGAAGGTGGTCCAACAGGGTAGTAACCAGTTGTGTCACAGACCATATGCCAAGGCAAAGTCATAAACAGATCTACCTGCATGATCGGTTAAACGGGAACTAAGCCTATCAGCGTGGTGGGCGTTAAAATCACTGAGCATCACGATCTCTGCGTATGGGACCTGTTGTGGCATGGAGTCTGCAGCCGTTTGGACGTGGTCGATGAGTCGGTCTGTGTCGGCATTATCGCTATGGGATCTATAGAAGCATCCTTAGACGCGGGGATGGTCGGCACTTACTGACTGCTAAGGCGTCGAAAACAGATATCCTCTCTGACGTATACGCAAACTTCAGCCCAGGGCACAAAGGAGTGTTCTAATTTGTACCCCGGGTATGAGAGATACGAAGTATCAGCCGGAGAGGACACCTGTGTCTCAAGAGCCTCAGGAAGAACCAAGTAGCTTGGGCGTGGATGCTCAGCAAGGGATTCTCCGTCACCAGGGTTGCTGGTACCCTCCTGGGGGAATGTTTTATTTAACTCCACTACCATGCTAAGGGGGGAGGGGGAGAAATTGGGCTTCCGGCTATTTTCACGCTGGTATTCTGTGAGTTCGTGGTACCACCTCGGTTCGAGCCGGCCCATCCTTGCGACAGCAAAAGCTGCCGCGTGGCTCTACCATTGTACAAATATGCTTTAATTCCTCTTTTCTCCCTCTCCTTTCCACCATCGGACAACCAGACGGTCTGCGGGTCTTCACCCTTTTGTTGTCGATATTCCACGCATTAGGACTAAACGGTTTGCTTCAACTTTTGTAATGCGTACAGCAAAGGAGTGAAATAATTTACCAGCGTCTGTCTTTTCTTGCGAATACAATCTGAGCGTCTTCAAGGCTAGAGAGAATAGACTATTGTAACGCTAAGACAATGTGATATGATCTAGGATCCCTTGATCCGCAGACATATACCAACTAGGACTTAGTCCTGGGCTGTCACCAGAATTGACAAGTAATCAATTGAAGAACGTTCTACATTCATATAGCTATGATTTAAGGAAATGCTTTAGAACTTGGCAACCGTTCAGACATTTACTCCAGTTGTATAAAAATACCAAATTAAGCAGGTAAGTAGCTTAAATATTATTATTAGGTACCTTTATTAATATCTCGTTTCTTCATTAAGCTTTTAGCAGTACCAGATGACATTGATAATCTGTTTGACTGCAGGTCATGTTTTGCCTGCAAAATAAAAATAAAAGAAACAGCAATATTGAGAATTGAAGATTACAAAAATTGTAGAAAAAGCTTTTTTTTTAATAAAGTGTCAATCGAGCTAACAGTCCTTTCATGACAAGTTATCACATCTGCAATTGATTTGAAACAAGGGAGGCTTCAGGTACAAATTCTTTGTCACATATGGGGACTAAGACAATGCCTCTGTAATTATACTGGCTCTCTAATTCTCTATAGACTTCAAATCGTAAACGTTGCTGTTTGGCAACCCATATCTATACAGTGAAAGGTTTCTTGCCACCCAATGCGTTCAAAACATAGGTATACAAATATCTGTAAAAAAATCAAACTGCCTGTGCTCGTCTCGACGGTACTGCCGGTGGTAAGCCCGGGTATAAAAGGAGGGCTAACCAGCCATCATGGTAAAAAGGAAACCGATTTAGAGGTCCACAATAACGAAGGAAACCGGATCGCATAACTTACGACGACCTCAGTATAAATTAAAGGATTGCCAACTGGAACCTGAATAATAATATATTAGACTCTTAGTTTGATAAATTACACTTATGTATTATAATATCTATTTTAAATTACAAAGTAACATATTTCAAAGAATGTGTAGATAATGCCGCAAGCACGAAAAATAGTAGAAAGGATCTGGCCACTTTAAAAATCCCAAGCTTACATTTGGCGTGGAACAATTTTTTTTTTTTATGGCAACCTAACAATTACTGCGAACCTCTAGTCAATAAATAATACTTGTAAGAAACGGCGAACAATATAAATGAAAACTATGATCCTGATTAAAAACCGAATAAAATTAAGAACCAGTGAAGCATGAAATGACTTGTATTACAGAGTAAAATAAACCAGGAAAGGGCCACAGCGTCTTCCTAATAACATCTATAAACAAAATACTGCGATTGCTAAAGTGTGGCAACTATGGGAAATATCCCCCTATGAAGCAATCTATAACCTTTGTTTATGATACATTACACTGTAACAAAGCTCGTATATATATATATATATATATATATATATATATATATATATATATATATATATATATATATATATATATGCAAAAAACAATGTATAATAACAATACGTTTTGCTGTTGACAGGTTTTCTTAATTTTTCTTTTATTATCCTTCCACTTCTCAAGCGCCCTTTGCTGACAACTTTTTAAGTATACATATTCTGAATACCATTTATTATGTGATATAATATCTTTCAAGGTTGTACCTGTAAACATAAAATTATTGGAAATACATAAACCACATCAAAATAATATCTGAGGTAAATTAAAGTAATTTATAATGTGTAATCTGAGAATGTGTGTATCTATGTGGTTATGGAAAGACTCTGGTGAATTTTTATTTTATAAATTATAGATATTTTATTGGGGTGGGTCACTCGCGTCTCGTCGTCGTCATTGTCCGCTTCTCTGCGTCGGATCCCTTAAATAAGTCGGGCGTACTTTTTAACCCCCCGTTTACACTCTCGGCGAGGCGAGTCGCGAGGCGAGCTACGAGATGCGAGTGTAAACGCTAGCTCGTGGCTCCCCTCGCAACTCGCCTTGCCACTCGCGGTGCTCGCGTTGGAGGCGGTTTTTTGGGCACGAGGCAAAGGGCCTCGCGAGGGACGCGGGCGTGGTGTATACACTCGCGTTCTCGTTTCAGTTTGTTTACGGCGCCCTTCCATAATAACATTCGAATTGCTTTTGTTTTAAAATAATATTATTTAATCTTGCACAATAGGTACTAGCAATTTATATAAAACTAGCTTTTTACCCGCGGCTTCGCTCGCGTGGTCTTCTTTTTTAGAAACATCATTAAATGTATTCCACGCCAAATTTAGTAAAGTTCGATCACTTTTAGAGTCAAGTCGGTGTCTGTGTATCTATGTCAGTTTTTCAAAGAATTTTTTGAATTCCCAAAGACTATTGGACCTAGATGATTGAGGGACACGTGCAGAAATAAGTTTTTCAGAATTGCATTAATACCATATTATGTCTAGAAATATCTACAATTTTTTTTATATTGGACCTGTCTTCCGATGTATCTATCCATAACAAAGATAAATAGTCTTGGAATCCAAATTTACTATTATTATTTACTCATTACATTCATTCATAATTTATTTTTATCAAAATAATGATGAATTCATGGTCTTATATGCGATATTTGATTCATATCTTTGTTTTCATTTAATATTGATTGGCACCATAAAATAGATTCTGATTTTTTTTCTACGTTCGAGTAGACTTCAAAATTTCATAAATGCAGTTCTGATAATGATGAATACTACACATATGATAAAACAAATTGTAATAAATCACGTTACATTTTAACTTCTATTTAAGCGGGTTGTACAAAACACATCTTTGGAAGAAATTTCCATAAAAATTTGCGTAAAACAACGTATTGCTGATGTGAAGCACCGACGCTCCGAGAAGTCTGAAAGTGTGTCAACATGTTGAGTATCGTCCCAACCATTATATCAGATATGATAGACAACAAATAAACCCCCGCCCCCCTCTCCATGGGTTCTGTATATTGCCCGAAACGTCATCAATTATAAAAGTTAAAATTAAACACGCTAAAATCCTTATGATTACTTTTATTGCAAATGAAGTTCTATTCGCAGTGAACGTGGGTAGAACTACACTCATGATCGAAAGCAGAAAAATATTCGCCTTGTTGTGGCGGCGAAAGAGAATCCGCCACCTCATATCGTTCCGTGTGTGTCCTAAGAGGCGATAGAGGTAAACAAACAGAAGATGGGGAACATCATGTTCCTGACAACAGTTCAAAATTATAAATGCTGCGGATGCCAACGTGCCTGCCAAGCGTGGCAACTACAGCAAATATCCAGCCTATTTGACAAGTTATGTGGGAGACCTATGTTCAGTTCAGTGGACTTTTGATAGGTTGTAATGATAACGGTGATGAGTTCTATTCTTTCGAATCTTTGCTACCGTATATTTACGGTAGTGTGAAAACAAAAACGTAACATCTCCGAAAATATAAATGATATAAAAACAGCATAACTGCCCCATTAAAACTAAAAAAAGTAGCGACCTACATACCTGTCACTACTGGGCACAGGCCACAGAGCTTTTGGCCAAAAAAAGTGCCAACGCTGGATCACCTCAGCTGGGGAACTTCTCAGATATTCAGGTTTTCTTTCACCGCCGAGAACGTGGTAAATCGACACTTCAAATTGCATTTACATATATGTAAAGATATATAATAATGCTTATGTACTATGAAATTTACTTTTGCCTTTGACAAGTAAAATAAAATATATCTTTGTTTAAGTAAAATCTGCAATCTTCGATATTTAAAGTATTTTTTCGCAACAGCCTGTTCATTTCCATATCTAGTGTGAGCTATGAAACCACTACTGTCACAAAAATTTTGATTTGTCTGATAATATGAAAACTCAAAAATACAAAAATCCAACAAACTGATTTATAAGTCTCATTAAAGGTATAAAAACTAAAGTAGCAGCTTACATACGTCTCACTACTGTGCACACGGCTCCCCATTACCTATAGTGTTTGTGAGCAGAAAAGAGTATGCCGCAATCCTTCAACTACTACTCCGACATTTAGGTTTGCCCACGAAGTTTTTCTTCACCACTTCACTGGGTACTATGTATGTAGTAAGTCAGTGCGTAAAATTTCCCATAACAGATTCATTTGTCCTCAAAGGACTCGTACACGTTTTGCTCCCTTGCCGTGATGAAATCTCACGGCGAGCTACACGGCTCTCGTATTTGTTTAAATAAAATTCATAAAAACTGAAACAAAGCTTTTGTACCATTGTTGACCATATCTACCGAGTAATTTGAAACCCAACGATACATGCACATAATTTCCAATTATTTACATCAGATAACGTGATAACATATGAAGTAGGTAAAATGAAACCTATGCCGACAGACAAACAATATATTGAACTAAAGAGCTTCTCTCCTAATCTCAGTTTTGTGTACAACAGTGTTGTTAGCCATTTTGCCAAACGTGGTTATTGTGGTAAATAATCCCGATAATGACCACCGGTCTAGATATTTTTAAGTGTGACAATTTTTGATGCTGCACGAATAAGAATTCGGTAGCATTCTAAAATTAAATTTTATCAGTTGCTTATCATTAGTTTATTTAGAGAAAGTAGAGGGCGCTAAATTACATTAATACTATGAAAGTCAAAATTATACTATCTAGTAATATCAGCTATAGAAGAATCTCAAGAGCCACCCCAAAACCGGGAACATTTATTTATTATATAAAAAAGGTAATCAGTGATGTTGATTCTGTTAAAAATCTGTTTCCGTTAAAACACACGCTATCAGCGCCGCTAGCGGTGAAAAACTATTTGACGATATGAAGATATTGTCATGAAATAGCAATATTGTGTTAAGTTAGTGATATCGTTAAACGATCTCTATTCTTTGTTTGGCTAAGCGATATTATGACATGGTCAACAAACAGTGATAAATATCATGAAATGACACTATTTCACGAAATAATGATTTCATGAGAATTTTGCAATAATTGCAGGACGGACCAGTTTTAATCAGTTTACATAGTATTAAACGTATGAAAATTGATATGTTTTTTAGTTCAAAATAATATAAATGTTCATACGTTTGATAGATGATGTCATGATGTTTTTAGATAATAGATGTCACTTTTATCTATTATTTTTTAAATTTTAATTATTGCACTTTTAAAATCAAATAACGATTAAATTAAGACTTAGGATTTTAAAATAATTTTATTAATGTAATTATTTAAACATATAAATGTAAGTTATTTATATAATTTATTAGTAACTAAAGGCAAAATGTAGGCTTTTTTCATTTGATGATAGATGGCGCTGTTTTGATAATTAAAACGTATATCGTCAGCGGAGTTTCAAAGTGTTATGCAAAGGTTAAAACTAATTTAAACTAAATTTACAAATATAGTATTTCTTTTAAAAACACCTGTCTTCCCGCCTATTAACTAAAATAATCATATATAATAGAAAATTAACATCTAAAGGAAGAAAAATACTTAACCTTCTTTTTTTAAGTTTCGTAATCGGATAAAAAGTAGCCTATAAGTTGCCCCGGGATACTAACTACCTACATATAAAATTTTATGGAAATTGGTCCAGTAGTTTTTGCGTGAATCGGTAATACACAGACAGACAGACAGACAGACAGACAAAAATTCTAAAAACCACTAATTTAGCTTCAGCACACTTTATTTAGTAATATGGACTTGTTTTTTCAAAAATATGTTACAATTACAGACACGGCTTTTCTACAGATTTATTATATGTATAGATTATATAACTGAAAAGGTTCTGTTTCGATGAATAGATATCATCCACCATATTCTTCCTCAACGACGTATTTTTTTAAATTCCTTCTTTTTAAAATGGTCAAGCATCGATAAATACTTATTAGGCAAGAGTTGATGTCGCTATTATTTCGACGTCTTTCATCGTTGCTAGCTCAACGCTTCCCTATATAACATTGTAGTCTTTGCTCAACGCAAACTAAATGCAACGCATCGCGAGAATGTAAACAGACATTCGTTACCTCGCAACAACACGCGCGCTGCGAGGCGAGGTACGAGGCAAGGCGCGAGGCGAGAGTCTAAACCCGGCATAAGATTTGTACTTTGTATTAAATTATAGTAGATTTGTATCAAACATTGTTTTGTACTTGTATGCTGTTTGCGTGAATGCTGTACAGTACGTTATATTTAATTTTCATGAAGAACAAATCGTCTTCTGCCTGTACCACCTGTACCTAATAGGTATACACTTCCTTATTCTATAAATAGAAAATACCTGGAATTTTTTGTAAAACCTCCTCATTAAAGCTTTGGATGCGATCGATGTTTTCGTCGGAGTTACATACATTTATGAGAACGTCGACATTATCCATGTGAAAATGTTTGTTCCATATTTGAACAAAAATGTTGTGGTTATATTCGTTCCATCCGCCATAACGTTGGCTGTTCATTATGAACGCTTGAAAATTTTCCACTTCCTAAAAATACTCATTTTAGTAGCACAAAAATATTTTAAACTGGGTAAAAACTAAAAACAAACACACTGCCCAACTGGTAATAGTAGTCTTTAATGTCATCTATCATCTGTCCACAATAAAGATGCCGGTGTTATTTTGCAAGGGTTTGCGGTTTGTTAAATTTGATGTAGAACCGCGAACGATTCTGAATTTTGAACATAATATTCGCCAACTACTGTTGCACGCCTCATAACGCTGAGCGTTATTAGGCAGTGCATAAGGGTACGTTCAGATGACAAGCGCTCAACGCGCGTTGAATGCGCGTAAAATTTTTGTATAGTATTCACATGGTGCGCGCTTGTCAGGCGTTGCCGCAGCCGCCCTGGATATATCCCATATCGCAGGACGTTTCACTATTTCATCTATAAATAATGCGGTATTAAAAGCTTCCGTTTCCATTTTGGACGATTTGTGTATGAACTGAGCGAACCCTAAAATACGTCTATACGCATCAAAAGCGCGCGCTCAACTCAACTGAACGGTAGCATAGAAAACCAATGAACTCAAAGCGCGCGTTGACAACAGTCGAGCGCTAGGGCAGCGTTCAACGCGCACTTTATTAAACCGTCCGTTAGCATGTGTACGGCCTGAATAAAACTGATGTAGTTGTAAACGCGCGTTAACAAAACGCGCGTTGAGCGCTTGTCATCTGAACTTACACTTACTCTCGACACCTCAATGTTAAGTGATTTTGTAGTCTTAAAATGGCTCTATCATAAGCATATTGCACTTATACGATAATATGAGTAGCCGATCAAATATATTTTCTAAGAAATCATTTTATATTGCTACTTTGATAAAAAAAGGTTTGAAAAAATTTGATGCAATTTGATTTTGTATGTGGTCACGATTTAAGTCGTTTTATAAGTTTTGTTGCTATTAAAAATTTAAAAGCGCTTTATTTTTTAACCCATGATAGACAAAAGACAAATGTAATCTATTTAATTTTGGTAATTTATTTTTCCATCAAAACTAAATGAAACGCTCATGAGGCGCGTACTTTTGGATTTTCCAAACAATCTAAAATTCGCTGTGCATTACTGCAGTTTTTCTGGAGCGTTTGTGTTCAACGTCAGGCACGTAAAAGAACATATTATAGCTGACGGGAATTGAGAATTATTTAAAATTGCACGTGATGAAATCATTAAAAATATTTATATTAAATGTGTATAATAAAATAAATAATGTCGTCTAGACCAAATTTGGGTCACGGTGGCCAGTTTCAATGAATATTTTAATAACAATCTTCGCAGGACAGTTATAGTGTCCGTGTGTAATTGAAATTGAAAAGATTATACCTACTAAAATTATTATTAATCTAATTCGGTGAAAAGGTCAAAAGTAGTGACGCAACGAATACTACGAGTACTTTTACGAATACGAATACGAATATCAAACCTACTATTCGGCGAATATTACGAATACGAATATCTCGCCATGGTAATAAAAAACTAATTTATTTGATGATTTTCTATTGTTCTAATAATAAAAATTTACAATAGGCAAATGTTTATTTAAAAAACATAAAATTTGTAGATTTTCTGGTTTTAGGCGATTTCTTTTTTCAATTTGGATGTTCCCAGCCGTTGAAAAAGTTTTTCCGAGGCGACTGTACATAGTTTCAGTGAAAAATATTTTTGGGAGTCCCCCGTCGTTGAGACTAAGGGTCAAAACACACGTATTTTTTACGCGCCGACGACGCGCGTTATCCAAGTCGGCCAGTAATTAGAGCTGCGTACAAAAATGTTAGTTTTTAAATATTCGTGATCAGTATTCGCCGAATACGAATATTCGGTAAATGTTTACTATTCGGCGAATACGAATATTCGTATTCGTATTCGTTGCATCACTAGTCAAAAGTATAGACGTTACGTTGAACCCTAACCCCTAAAAGAACTCTAAAAAATGCATGAATTTTAGTAGAGAGAGTAGAGTTAATAAAATTATTGAAATTATAAAAATAAATAGGTACTCACTGGACATTTAAACGGAGAATTTATAAGAACTCTAACTGGACTGGGAACGATTTCTGTGTACTGTTTAGTAGTTTGTTTATTTGGCTTGTAGTTCTTCTTATGATCTTCAAATCGTTTACCTTTTAACTGCGAAATATGATATTTAGTATATAAATATGTAACTAGAAAATTCAGATTACGATTGTTGAGTACCATACCGTTACCGTTACAGCTTATTAAAGTTCACTGCTGAACATAGACTTTCCCCATAGATTGCCTCATAGGGGGGATATTTGCCATAGTTGCCACGCTTGGCAACCGCAGTTTTTTATTTTTAGTCGTTACTAGGACCATGCTGCTACCCATCTCCTGATTTGTTTCCCTCTATCGCCTCTTACGATTTGCCTATTAAGTGCATACCATAATAAAAATCTGTAATTATTTTAATTTTACAAATAAAATCTCATACCATACCTCACCCTGAATTTCATTAAAATGAAATTTAAGAGTTGCTATTTCCTTTTGTAAAAACGATTTAAAAGATGTGAGTTTTGCTTCCAGGTTCAAAACATCTCTTTTTACTTCATTAATATCTGCAATTATTAGATATAAAAGGCATATAATTTAAGTTCATTTACGACGGTTCCTATATAAACAACGGTAGAAAAGCTACGCTGCAGTAATATCATGTTTGCAGCACGAATGTGTTGGCTTAGACGGATATAGACACACGCTTACAAAAATACCATATTAAAACGTGCTGCTGTGTTTTGTATGATGACTGTAGAGAACCGGAGGCACTTTTCACTGGTAACGAAGTATTCTACATTAGTCCTCAGGGGTGACAACACATCTACATTTTAATACTCAATCGAGGTAAATTTCTATAGCCTCTGCTAGTCTATGCCTTTCTTTACCATCAGGTAGAATATGTGCTCGTTGTCACCCTAATTAAAAAAAGTAATTCTGCAACTACAATGCGTTTATTAAAAATATAGTAATTTAAACAAAAATATGAGATGAGGTACTAAGATATATATCTTCGTTGGATATCCTTTATCGTTAACCCGTAAAAGTACACTACTGGACATGGGATGACGTTAATAGGAAGGATTTGCCATAATCGCTACTTTTGGCAGGTGGTTTGGCGATCCCAGTACCAGACTATTTGGACTTTTGACGCTGTACCTACGTCGTCGCCGGTCAAGTATATCTTATACTGACTATACACGTCCCGCTGCTGGGCACAGGACGCCTTTATTTCTAGAAAGGTTACAGAGTAATAAATCATTTTCTTCTCCACACTCCAGTCCGTGTTGGCGACTTGACTTAGCGGTTGGCTTGACCCACATGCGCCGTGAAGAGATGTAGCACCCCTTTGCATATTCTTTTTCATTTACCAAGAGAAGTGCTCACAGGGATTGTTCGGATTCATTCCAGACGCCAAATTTAACCATCGCACATCGCGACCGAATTCACGATACTATTCATACCATCTGGATGATTGTCGGTTCACTACTACTCAATTTACCAAAAGTTTTCATCCTCGCACAACTATTTTGTAGAATTGGATACCATCGATACGAATCAGGGACCTTCAGGAAAATAGCCTATTATTTTTTAAAAGGCCGGAAACACACCTGCTATTCCCTAGGTGTAGCAGTTGTTCATGGACGGCGGTAGTTATACAACATCAAGAAAGCCGCATGCTCGTTTGCACCCTCCCATATAAAAAAGCTGACACAAGCATATTATATGAACAATACACCAATTACTTTGACCATACTATAAAAACTATGAATTTTCTCGCTCTCTCTTCTATGAAGGTTCGCGTAAGTACATTAGTTAAAAAATACGATTTGGCAACGAAATTTAAAAATCAATTTGATTTAAGCCTTTTCTCAGCGTTCTTGGTACTATGCCGCGGGGAGTAGGATTTTATGATAATTTAAGTTTTTAGATTTAAGTCTTGTTTAGTATGGTAATAAAATTTGTATATTTTAATATTATGTTAATGAATTTAATTTAGAGAATTGTGAGATCTCATGATTTCAGAAAGATGGCGGTATAGGCATCTTGTTTGGCAGACTGGTGCCGGGAAGCAGCGGCAAACGTGCGAAACGTCTGGATCTGCGATCGCCAACTCCTCTACCAAGCATAGGTTATTAAGGTAAATCCTCCCGACAACGGCATAGGCCTATGTCAAGCTGGTGACTTTTCTACTGTCTCTATCGCAAATGCTTACAAGTGAGCCAATGTGATGAAAAATCTATATTAAAAAAATTATAGAGGCTTGCGCGCATCACGGAAATACTTTTATTTCTTAGACACTTGGCCGTCTACGCAGGTACCGCCCACTTATCTATTTTTGCCATTAAAAAGCAATGCTTGCAGTTTTATGTTCCAGTCTGAAGCATAGGATACCAGTATAATAAAAACAAGTATTAGGTATACTTTATTTCAATGAGATGACAATGCGTCTGTAATATAGCCTTCTTTGTTTGAAGTTAGCTGCACATGTCCACGGACTACAGCAACCATTTACTAACAGGTGGATTCTAAGGTCGTTTGTCACTTCGATTTTATTTAAAGAAAACACTCATGTATATTTAAACACTGTATATTTTACTTTGTATTGTATCATTATGCAAATAAAAATGACAGCGTTGAGCTGATTCACATTGAAAATAAATTAGAACGAAAGTAGTACTTGGAGTAGATTTTAGCAGGGGTGGTAGACATTATAAAACAAAGGATATAAAACGAAGAATGAATGCAAGACACACACAGAACATTTTGTGAACAGGACTAAGAAAGGAATACACAGATAACTGTATACTAGTCAGAGAAAGGAATACTTCAGTAGTTGGAACACTTTTTTTTTTTATAGGATAGCATGACAAACGAGTACACAGTCCACTTGATGGTAAGTGGTTGCTGTCACCCATAGACATCTACATTTATCCTTAATAAAGAATTAAATGGAGGGCTAATTTAAGTGTATCGTTAGTCAACGAGCACTTTTGCGTTGATATTATATGAGCATAAAGCAAGAGAAATGTATCAAGATCGTGTTAAGTGCAAGTTCGGAGTCTATGTCCACTCCCCTGGCTGTAAGGTGTAAGACTTTATGTAAGTATGTAAGATAGGATCAGAAAAAAGCACATTCACGTAAACTCGGAAGCAACGGAATGACGCTTATAACTTATAAGCTTTGACGCGAGTCGCGAAGTCGAGTATAAAAGTAGTGATTATAAATTCTCTTTGGTCGAGTATATCTGTTACTGTCAATGTCAACTTAAAAAAAGTAAGAATTGTTCCGTTTCAGGTATTAATTAGTTATTTAGGAATATTTATAGAAAATGATTTTAAATATTTCGACGCATCTACGGCAGCAAAATAAAATTGCATGTGGGCGCTTGAGATAAGTCCCATTGACCGCCCCCACCCCCGTGACAGCCAACTCAAATTCAGGCGACTTGATTCTAAACCCAACACAGATATCCCTCTAGCCGATATATAGGTAGGTACATTTCTAAACGATCAATCCACCTTATAGTTTTTAAATTTACTAGATTGTAAATTTAAAAAGTTATGACATGTGCAAACTTTTGATAATATTCCTTATATTTGAATGTCTGTATTCTTTATACGTTAAAAATACATAATAGTCGGAGGATCGTAAAATGATTTCAACTAATATTATGAATATAACATACCGAGTTGTCCTATAGTTTCACTGGAGTTTGTTGAAATTTTTACATCTTCCAACAAATTTTTAATTTCTATAAAAGAGTTTTTAATTGTATTTAAATATTGCTTCAACTCATTATTTCCTTTAAATGTGGTACGGAACTCTTCATGTTCGTGTGGCGTTGAAAATACTTTATGAACTGATGAATTTAGAACACTTTCTTGTATTTTTAATCGCCTTAATTTTGCAATGGCATTTGTAGCAAAATCAGTTGAAGCTAAACCTGACTTATTATTCATTATAAACTACACCATAACATTCACAATTCTTTAAGAACTAATAAAGTAACGAGTTTTTGGGTTTTCAATATTGCTTAATTATCATTAATAAATGTAACTCTGCTCCTATCATTGATTAATCGGCGTAACCGTTACCATAGCAAAAGGTGGATTGTGGATGAAATCCTTTGTATACATTTTACACACATTTTATAGTTATAGACTTGCAACGTTGCAACATCGGACACCCAAATCAAACTGTTGAATTCTCAAATATATTATCTACTAGCTTTTTACCCGCGGCTTCGCTCGCGTGGCAAATTTAGCAAAATTAATCGAATTTCGACTTCTAGAGTCACATCGGTTAAAGACTATTAAATGTAGATTAGGTATTTGGCATAGATATAATATGCTACAGAAACACGTGAATACATATGTCTAGAAACACCTACTATTTTTTATATCGGGCGTGTCTTCCTATATATCCATAAGAAAGGTAAATAGTCTCGTAATCAAAATTTATTATTATCAATTATTTACATTTTACTGTCTACATTCATTCATAATTAAAGTTAATTTAGTTTTAATAAAATAATGATGAGTTTCACGGTCTTCTATCAATTTACAGCATAATGTTTATTTGAAATATTTTATACATTATTGATTGGCACCATAAAATTGATGTATTTTTTTTTACGTTCGAGTAGACTTCAAAATTTAGTACACAGTATACTACATCTATACATATAATAAAACTGTAAATAGCAGATGTCTGTACATTTTATATTTTTGTAATAAAAGTGATTGAGGGGTACTAAAAATAAGTAATTAAATACATTTCTACCATTTTTAGAATTTTCTGTCTATCTGTCTGTCTGTCTGTTTGTTTGTTAACGTATCACGTATAAAGTACTAATTTATATCATAAGAATTGTTAAGGAAATTATAAAGTGTATCTTCGGGTTACATTTAGTCTTTATTTCATTAAAATCAGTTCATTCCATCAAAAGTTATGATAAATATTCTAAGTATGGGTAGGGAAGTATAGGTACGAATTTGCTCAACGGTGGCTTTGGTTGAGTCATCAAGTGCATTTTAAACTAATATCATATCATAAATCATAGTTAAATTATGTAAAATAATGATATAATTATGTATATCTAAAACGCAGTAAACAAAAGTATTAAAGAACGTATTAAATATATTATACAAAAATAAATTAACCTTATTAACTAAATCTGAAGCACAATAGTTAACCCATTTCTTCGATAGATGGTGGTGTTGTGAAAATGTAATGCAATTGCAATGTGGTTCTTTCCTGTAGATGAGTTTTCATATTTACTGCTAATCTTTATTATATTACTCGCTGCCCTACTGCGTGTTGACAAACTCAATTTATTCTTTACCGCCGAGTACTCTATGTGGTAAATCAAATTTTAAATGAGCTATTAACAATTGCGTTGGTTTTGGCGAGAGTCAAACTTTATTTTTTGCTTACTGTGCAGGCACAGATTTATAAGTTCTCTTGCGTTTTACATAATGTATCAATCGCGTCAATTAATCTCTTTTATTTTTAGAATTGATGTTAGCAGCGCCATCTCTCTTTAAATATATACATATAATAAAAATGATGATAACATGTTGTGTCTCTTTCTGTACATTGTATATTATATATTTTGGTGGCTAAAATCATTATGGGGAACTGAAAATAATTAAATAAGAACATTTTATAATTTTTAGAATTGTCTGTCTGTCTATTTGTCTGTTATTATATGAACGCATCACGTCTAAAGTAAACATCTTTTATTTTCAAAGAAATCGTTAAGAAAATCATAAAGCGTATCTTCGAGTTACATTTAATCTTTGTTTTATTAAAATTGGTTAATTCTATCGAAAGTAATGATTATTATTTTGAAATGTAGGTTCGAATTTGTTCAATGGCGCCATAAAATCTCAGAAATAGTAATAAAAAGATTTGTGTGTAAAAAAAACGTTCCATAATAATTAATATATTTATACTTAAAACACAAAAAAAGATTTATAAAGGATGTTTTCTCACACAAAGGACGTAATAGATGGAGTTGTACAAATTACAAACTTTTCTGAATTGCTGTGTTGAGATTTTTCACCGATGAATCGTATTGAGACTTACAGAAGAAATTTGTATCCATCGAAGCCATACAACGGAACCCGACCAAAAATAAAAATTTTGCAACGAAATGTCGTGATATTGTATTTATAATATACGCAAAATCAGTACTGCCATTTTAGCGCTTTGGGAACTAGATTTAGCGCTTTTTTGGAGTGTATAGCGCGCATTTCGAAATTTTAGCGACTAGCGGGTTATTAACTCTTTTATAGCAGCACTGTTAGTCCACATTACCGATAATAATAATAATGACCTTTATTATTTTTTCCCACAAATAGTACATTGCAGTTTATCTTTTTCAAACATATTTTTTCCACAAAACAAAGAGCATGGGAGACGAGTACAAACTAGGATACCCTGTGCTATGGATCTCCTGGCTTCCCCTTTAGGATGATCAACTTGATTTTTTTACCGACGACTATAAGCGGGGAAATCCCCTTTATTAAAGTTTTCGTTCATGGTTTTGGCAACGCATTTATTTTGCTTTATTCAGTTTCAGTCAGTTGCTTAGAGCACAGCTAAGTTAAAAGTTACTTAGAAGTTATAACACAAAGAAACTGTGTAGCAACCGCAATCAGATGCTGACATCTGAAACTAAGTTGCGAAATACATTGCACTTTAAAACAATTAATGATATTTTTATTGTTCGTACAGTACTAACTACTGTTGACAGCAATTGCCATAATTATAAATCGATGTCCTGCGAAGTATTGATACATCAAAAAAATATTGCCAGAAAAAAAACTTAATGTTGTTTTCTTTATCATGATTATATAAAAAAACACACACTTTGTTTGTAGTTAATTTAGCGCGAAATCTAGGGCTTTTTTAAAGCGCTGTTTTCATGAAATCTAGCGCTTTTTGTGTTGTCCTAGAGCTGAATGAGTTTTTATTTTATCTGGCAGCACTGCCCAAAAACCCTCTATTAAGAAGTAACTTTCCTTTCAGTTTTAAGCGCGTTCAGTTTCCAGTTACAGTGAGCGTGTGTTATGGGATGACCGTATATAAAGCGCAAGGTCAAACTTTACGCGTTGTAGGAGTGTACCTCAGTACTGACTGTTTTGCACATGGCCAACTCTATGTTGCTTTTTCCCGCGTTAGTAGCCCCCGTAACCTTTTAGTGTACACCCCGGCTAAGCCTACTTCTCACGTCGTTTACACAGAAGCTCTATCATAAACGACTTAGAACTTTGATGATAATGATTTATTTAGTTACCACTTATTGATACAGTAATGAAATAAATCGTTTAATATTCTCTTACCTAAACGATAAATTCTTTATGTAAAACCTGTATACGCGAGCTACGCCGCGGGCACAGCTAGTATGGAATAAAACTAATGGTACGGATTTTATCATGTTTAGTTTTAACTTTTTTACGTGGGGTTTTTTTACGCATCTTTTTTTTACCTACCAATTATGATTCGTGGGTCTATTGAAATTAAAAAAACCATCCTAATTTTAATAGGGAAGATGGCTGAGTGCTAACATCTGCTAAGGACCTCATAGTTAATAAAATTAAATTCAAACCCAAGCATACTGCTGCATTTATTCTATACTATACTATTCTTATTCTATTCTATTCCAACTATGACATCAGGTCGTCAAACACCTCAGTCCTCCCGTGACCATGGGTGCTGTAAAGTGCCCAAAACATCGGGAATTAAAAACGTTAAAATGAAACGCGATAAGAGCCCTAAAATTAGTTTTATTCCTTATAAATTTTATTCACAGTGAACGTGGGAATTACTACACTCATGAACGGGAGTAGAAAAATGTTTGCCTTATTGTGGCGATAAAAGAGAATCCGCCACCTCATATCGTCCCGTCGTAAGAGGCGATATAGGAAAACAAACAGGAGATGGACAGCATGATCTTCCTGACAACAGATCAAAATAATAATAGCTGCGGTTGCCAACCCACCTACGATATACTATATATACTATTCTATATTCTTAGCGTGATAAACTTTGAGGATATCCGCAGTAGAACCAGAGTGGCCGACAGTGTAGGGTGACCCCCCGCTAGATGGAGTGACGACCTGGTAAGACATGCAGGACGTCGATGGATACAGTTGGCTCAGGACCGTGCCTATTTTCAGCAGTGAACTTGTGAAGGGTTGTAATGGTAATGATGACAGTTAAATGCAAATATGTCGAATTTTCTGAATATTATATAGCCTAGATTACTCCTGGCATTGCTATATATCTGTTCGTGACGTTTCATTACAATCGGTTAAGCCATTCCGTCGATAATCCCGGACAGACAAACAGAAAAATGAAAAAAAAAATATTGTAATGTCGCAATAGCATGCAAATAATCTCCTGAGCCTAATAAAAGCCGCTTATTTCAATATCACACACAGTCACATCAATTTTATTTGTTTGTATCTATAAATTTGTATAGACAACTAGCTATTGTTCAGTTTTTTGTCTGCAAAAAGAGCACGTCTATTTTACAAAGAGATGGCATTACCTTTCATACATAAGTAATTTTAATAACATTACTGATATTTACTTCTTTTTAAACTTAAAAATTACAATAATAATTGTCGTGTTGTTTTAGATTTGTTTACCAACATACATAGCCCAACAGATTATTAAGCTGAAGTCACAATGAGCCGGCCATATAGCTCGAAGAACCGAGAACAGATGAGGAAGAAAGGTTCGTAAGTGGCAGCCTTGTACCGGTAGGCAAAGTGTATTGCGACTCCCCACTAGATTGAGTGACGACCTGGTAAGACATGCAGGAAGTCGATGAATGCAGGTGGATCAGGACCGTGCTTTGTGGCATTCCTTGGTCGAGGCCTATGTTCAGCAGTGGACTTGTAAAGGGCTGTAATGATGATGGAGATGATGACAGGCCGCTCGCCTT